CTTTTTTGCGCAGCACACTTGCTTTAGTTTATAACTGTCTGCAACGACAATTCACAGAGTTTTTTCCACTTTTTTACCACACGACTAAGTTTAGAGACTTATGTAGGTTTTTAACACTCAACTAAGTTTAGTGACTTAGGTTTGTAATAGTTCCAAATATCCCGGTTGAGCCCCCAAATTTGTGGCCCCGGGAGTTCCGTTAGTGCGAATTACTTCCAGGACGACGTAGTTTTATTATTTTACTGCTTTATTTATTATTATATATTTGAGTTAATTACAAACTGAGTGTTGTGTGGTGTTTTAAACTTTAACGAGTTTACAAAGTGGAGTGTGTCTCTGTGGACTGCTTAGCGTGAGATTTCGGCATCAACTGCCTTTATTAGAGTTTTTCTCTCTTGATCTGTTAAACGCACGCATACATTAGCGATCTCTCTCTGTGTTGTCAGAACTGACGTCCACTCCGTGTGTTTCTCTGTTCTTGCTCTTCTGGTTTATATCTGATTCCTACATAAATGACTCATGCAAACATTCATTTTATCTCAACTTAATTGTTTGTTCGCTTTCGTCAACATTAATTTCTAAAAGCATCTGCCATTCACTCGAATGCAGCCACACATCAGCGGGTCACATTAAAAAATTAATTTTTTAATTGAAATACAAACCTCCTGGCAATCCGAGTGGGGAATGGAGTGCTCCCCAAAGGGGTGATTGTGATTCCACATATGTATGTATGTTGGTCGAGAACGGGGGAGGGGAGGGGTGAAGAACCACTGCTGTCGCTCACTTAAGTTAATACGCAAACCAAATGTCACTCAACATTATCAACAGCAAACGTAATCAGTTAAAACTTTTTCCTGCCTCCACCGCTGTTGTTATGGGCCTAAACCATTCCACAGACCGACAGACTGAATGACAGACAGTGGATGTTGTTGCTGCTGTTGTTGTTGCTGTTGTTGCTGTTGTTGTTGCTGCTGCTGCTGTGCAAAAAGTTGGCAACATGTTTGTACTTTATTTCAATTTTGTATGTCCTCTACTTGACTCTGCTCCGACAAGCAAGCCAACGTTGTGAGTGCTCAAAACAAAGGGAAACAATAGAAGGTTTTACAACGAATCGCAGATGTTCTGCAATAGAACATGTGTACTATTACTATTGCTATGTTTTCAATCAGCTCAAAAAGATTTAAATAACTTAGGTATGTGTGATTCCCGTAAAGGTTAGAAAAATCAAGAAACCAACTCTCGGTGGTCACTTTTCCATTAATTTTGCCCTATTCCAAACAAACATGATACTTTTTATTTGGTTTCACTTTTCGGTGCACGAAAACTGAACACAAAACTGTAGGCTGAATGTCTAAATTGTGCTTTGCTGTCGAGGACCGCGACCTGATATAGTCCTCCTGCCGTTGAAACGAGCTTGTCGTAAGTGCTCGCGGGTTTTTGCATATTTTTGGGCAACTGCTCGCCTCGCGTCACTTTGCAAAACTGCTAACAAACGGGGCAAGTGGGCAAGGGGGCAAGGTGGCAGCGAGGCGGCGAGGCAATGAAGAGAGGTTTCAGAAGCGAAGTGGCGTGTGTGGGCCACTTGACAGCCGTTTAAATGCATTAAAAAATTACCTACTCTAACATGAGCAATGGAGGAGGAAAAAACAGCGGCAAACATGTCAGCCGCCCAATTTCACATGTGACAGAAGGGCGGAAGCGGGAGAAGCGTGAAGGCCTACGTGGTTGTCACGCTCAATGGCAAAGTAGCGAAAAATCAAAACCTTTGCAACTGGCATTCGATCCAAAGAGGTCAACAGCGAAGAAATGCTTTGATTTGGGAAACGGTGCACTTTTTCCGGTACCTATCGAACCTGTTCTCAATAGCTGCTTCCGGAGTTTGAAGACTTTTCTTTCCGATTCATAATAAAATTCAATGAATTTTAACTAGATTATGGTGAATCATTTTCAAAAAATGTATAACCATCGCCCTACCTTTCTTTGTATTATTCTATTTATATTAAGACAACATCTTTTATATGGATTTATCTTTATAGAAATCAAAAAATACATTAGAAAACATTTTGCGATGGTACAGAAATGTCTTTTAACCAAATTCCAATCAAATTATTCTGTTTTGAACATGTTACCCATAATAAACTATTAGGGCAGGTAAATATATAGCTATCATCACATTAGGCAAAAGTTGTCGTAGTAGCATATTATGCCTGTGGTACCGCAAATCCTTTTCGTGACAGGCTCATCCTTTTTGTTAGGATATCAAAGGAAAACCGCATACAGCATGGGAAACAACTCAACGGGATGCCGAGGGACTGGAAACAACGGACCTGGCTGACTGACAGCGTCCGACTTTTTTCGGTCGTCCTGTCCTGTCCTGTTCTGGGTGCAAAAAGCGCATTACGCATTCACTTTGCTCAACACTTGTGTTCATTTTATGCAGCCTATCCCAGCCCCTCGTTTCGATCCCATTACCACTGCTCGCTTACCACACTCTGGTCTGTGTACGTTTGTTCAAATATTCATTGCAAATTCCAATTAAATTTTCGCTTAAATTGGCAATACCAACAGCGAAATCTGTAGTTGATAGCAGCTCCAAAGTTTGTTTTCTTTAAAGCGGTTTTATTTATACCTGGCGTTCTTAGAGTATTGGTATACCAACTGAAAATAGCTCTGTATTTTTCAACGTGGTTTTCTGGGTATATAAAGGCAAAAAGGATGCGTTTCCAAACCATTATAATGCTTTTTAACAACTTTAAGCCATCGATCTTCCCCTGTCAGCTTGTCCGTCAGCTTAAAAATTGAAAATTCGGAAACTAAGATACAATTAAAACTCGTTGTGCAGTTAAAACTTTTTTACGAGCTTTGCATCAGCAACATTTAAAGACGATAGGGGAAAGTTTAGGAAAAATTAAAACAATAGACAGTTTAGCTGCAGTTTCTTTGCATAGTTGATTCCATAATTTAAATAGTCTAATAATTGCATCGCCTCCTTGTTCGTATAATTTGTGTATAATAAAATGACAATTTTTTTTCCAAACCATAAAATCGCTTCGCATTGCAAGCTCGATATGCAGAATAGAATGATCCCATGCTGGGATTTTCTCGCTTACTTGCCCCAAGATTTATGCCTTCCAAATGCATCCTAGATTGGCCTGACTTGATACGAACTTACTTGGCATGGGTTCTACATCTACAATAAATGGTCACATGCTGCGTATGAGCAATATTTCAATAATGTTCAAAATGGAAATCTAGATTATATATACTTAGCGTTTATGCAATCATGAAGATGTGAAAGGAGTCAAAAAATATTATTAATAGTTTAACTAAGTGCTTGACTTTTCTTTTCCACTAAAAACAAAATTTGTTGTTCTAATTATATTTAAAATTAAAAACAATCTTATAAGAAGTCTATAATTAACTTTTTTCTCAATCTGGTTAGCTTGCTCGTGCTTCCCTTTTACAATTGGTGTTGCAAATTACTGTAATTATTTAGCTACTTACTTGGAGGAAAAAAAGGGAAATTGTGGCGTATGTATAAATCGTATTGATAAATCCCTGGCCAACACGTAATATGGAAATTAAAACACCAGTCAAACAAAGTGCAGTCCACAAATGGGGTCTCATCCTCCCGCACATTTACAAGCGCAGCAAATGCTCCCTCGCATGCACAAAGGACATGCAACATTGTTTTAAGCTTAGCAATGTCTTGACTAGGCCCTCTGAAGTAATGGAACAAAATGAAAAGGCTTAGGTATGTCTTAAGCCATTGAATATCTTAGACCCTTTTTGATTTTAAATAGAGCTAAAATATTGGTGAATTACTAAATCTTTCTTGCCCTTGACGATTTTAAATACTTGGTATTTTCTTAAACAATTTTCACTATTCGTTTTTACAATGACAAGAAAAGTCGCAAAGTAAAAAAACTAAAATAAGAGGTACGACATAACAACCGGCACAGAATGTTTACTGGACCCAAGACGAAGGAATGATATCCGATGCAGGACCTGTCTCCAATTCAGACACTTACGATGCCAGACATTTGTGGTCAGCCGTTTAGTTGGGGTTCTGCTATAGAAAATCTCATCTGTCCGGGAACAATTTTGCAACTCATGGTGTGGGAAATAGAAAATTGTTACTGAAAAATCGCTGGCTCTTCCAGACCCAAGCTTCCGTTTGCAAATGTTTCAAGTTTAAAATGAGCGTGTAATTAGAAATGTAAAGAGGGTAATGAGGAGAGCAGGGAATACGGAAAGTGGAGTCGAGTCAGCTGCAGAGCAAAAGTCACGGCTGCGTCTCGTCCCCAGGAAATGTCCCACGCAAAGCAAGAAAATGGCGAATAAAATTGAAATAAAGTGGTGCAAATGCAAAAACGTGCACACACACACACCCACACTCACCTTGCCACGCAACAGCACCATCTCACACCGGTTGTGCCAAGTTTCTGGCCCCAACAATGAGTAGCATAAAAAGTTATGTATAAAAATCTTTCGCTTTTTTTGCTTGCACTTCCGTTACAAGGCGAACAGAATTTGCATGTGACATTTGCGGTTGAGTTTTTGTGGATGGATGAGGGTAGACAGATCTTTGCATCAGCAAAGACTGTTGATAAAGCAATTTTTAAATAGAAAATATGGAGATTATTTGTTTTAGTTAAACATTTTGTTGGCTTTTGGCTATGTTATCACCCCATCCCATTTTTAAATATTCATAGCCTACTTTTTCGGTTTATAAGACATATATTTACATATGTCCAATTTTTGGTTTTCATTAAGAATATTTTTATAAAATATAAATTATGGGGGAATACTTCATTTACAACCTCAACAAAACTGTTAACAAACGAAAAAAACAGTCAGTCAATGAATATAGATTGTAATACCATTTTTATTTGCGTACAATTTTGTATCCGTTGATGCAAAATATAACAGTAAAATGACTTAATACAACAATTTTACAATTTTTATTATAATTGAAATACTATTTCAATTAAACTTACCACTTTGTAACCCTCAATTAAGTTGTATGCTCTTTAAAAGCCAAACATTCATAAAACGACAACAAGTATTTGCTGTTTAATTTGCTGAATAATTCAATTTGTTTTCACGGGTAGCATATGTGATATTTACTCTGCTTATTTATTCAATAATAAATATAAATTTGTATTTTATATTTTTTACGTTGTAACTGTGTTTGCGGGTATTTAATGATCTGCTGCACCTCCTTGTCTACTCGGTTTTATTACACATTGCATTAGGCACTACATTAATTCCTGATGTTTTTGTTGTATTTTTTAATTTCGCTTATGCTGTTTGCTGAATTAATTTATAAAATATTTAAAGAACGACGCGCCGCAGCTTTTATTTTTGGTTATTTCTGTTTGTGTTGTTTTTTCCATGAATTATTGATGGCGTTTGTTTTGTATTTTGTTATTCATTTATTACTTTTGATAATATTTTTGCAGACGCTGTAAAACATAAATGCACAGGGATTGTTTAAAGAGGTTTAGGGTGTGGGGGCGTGTTGGGTCGGGTCGGGGGCGTGTCATGAATCCATGCGAGGACGCGTAACGGCGATGCGATAATAAACATGCACAAACACAATAAATTTTACATTATAAACAGCAAGAACAACAAAATGTACAATTAGCAGCAGCAAAAACATAAATTTTGGTTAAGAGTTTAAAAGGGAAAAAATAAAATCTCGTATACGCCATGTGAACGCGTGATAATTATGGCCTTTCGGCACGCAGCGTAGGCCACAGAAAATATCTTGAAATTTTGTAGTTCCCATTCCTGTTCCCTCCTCCTTCCCCGAAAATGAACGTTGAAAGCGAAATGTTTTAGCAAGGACATGAACGCGAGGTGGCAAGGTCTGTCAATAGCCAAGTTGGCTGACGAGGCCAAAAACAAAACACTGGCTGCGAGAAGACGCAAAGAAGCCAAGCGCAGCCTTTTGGCAGCTGTAAAAACATACATATATGTACACGTCTATGTGGGCGCTGTCTGGGTTAGTAAAAGGCAAAGGCCGAGGAAAAGGATCCTAGCTGAAGCGACAAAAAGAAAATCAAGCCAAAAGCCGAAAGCTGAAAAAAGCGCAAGCAAAACAAAGTCGAGCGGATGATGAGACCTGACTGGCCCAGAAGAAAATGGAGAGGAAAACGGCGAAAACCCAGAGCCAAATGATACAAAAAGGTTTATTTCACACCCATTAAAGGGGAAGTGTTCATTTGGCCCCAAAGATACATATAGATATAACTTAATTTGGAGGTGAAAATTATGATTTCTGTGAGATAGGGTACCAAGGCAGACTAATAATGTGACAATGAACAATTATGGGCTAGTTATTGGTCATCTTTTCCCATTGCCATGTTTCGGAAATCCCCATTTAATGTGATTTATTGATTGGAGGTCAATCTTTATACGTCCCACTACCTCGGGTCATATATATATAATATAAAAACGGCAAAGAAAACGTATTTGTCATGCCTTCTATTCTGTTATCTTTCTATCTTCCTCCCTCGTTATATCCCTCTGTTTAGCTATATTCCGCTTCGTATAGATTCTATGATGACTTTGCTTGTGCACGCCCGACTAGGTTTTTGCTATTTACACACGCCTACATAGCAGGGGGCGAACCTCAACCTTCAGAGGCCATATCTTTGCCCCGCCAGAATGGCTGCGTCGTCTGTTTTATAATTTTCACAGACGACGCCCGCGCCTTCTCCCACTTTAAGTGCCCTGGGTTGACACTCGCACATTCAAACACTTCATAAAAAAGCCGCGCTTGTGCCCGTTATTTATGTATATTTTCACCTACATTTATTTTATTTATGGAAAGGCAAACGAATGGAGACAGTAAAACTAAAAGAGAATCCTGTGAGCCCAGTGTGAGTAAAGATGGGGCAAAAGCCTAAGGGAAGAAACATCAAAAACACCAGATGAGAATGGAGGAGGATATCTTAAACACAAAACGAGATACAGCGATGGTGGGGTGTTCCACAAAAGAAAGCATATAGATAATCTGTATCAAAAGTGAATTTGTATTGCTTACTTATTTTTAAACTGAGCCAATAAAAATGTGAACTTAAAATAAAGAGCTATAAAATATTCCTCATAACAAAGTTAAAGTATATAAATGTGGTTCAAAAGAAATTTGTCGAGTTAAATGAATTGCACTTTTGCGCACATAAATCTGTACGAATAAATCATATTAATTTAATTATAACAGATAAATGTGAAAAATAGAGATAAACTTTTTCCATTTGTATGAATTGAAGTCTGGTAATTGCGAAAACAACATTTTTTTTTAAGTTGAATTTTTCAATTAAATTGTTTTAACTTCCTCTGAACTCAACGCCAAGAACTCAATAAATATTAAGTACATACATATTGTGTGTGCCATAATAAGCATATTTAATAGAAGCTGTGCCAGATGCCCCACTCCTCTTCTGTTGTGACGCAGTCATGATGCATTTGCATATATGTCAGGGCATAAATATATAGAACGCAATTTATATATGCATCTAGTTAAAGTTTTTCCTCTTTTTGGTTGTACTGACGGCAGGCGGGCGAGGGGTGGACATGGCGCGAAGGAGGGGTCAGAGGGCACGTTCGGATGAAGCCTGCACTTGTCACGCCTTGTCTTCTTCTCATTCAGCATGTCTATGTGTGCGGCGTTATTTGCATGGGGGCGTGCGTGTGTGCGGTTTGGCCTCGTTGAAAATGCAAAACAAAAACACAAAAAATGAGCAAGCGAGATAAATAAAAGGACAACAGTGGGTAAAAAAAAAACGAGACTATGAAGGCAATGCCCGTGGCTTTTTGAGTTTGCCCATAAGTGTCTGTGTTTGTGGATGCTTACTGTTGTCTATGGATTTGACGACATTTGCTTTATTGTAAAGTCCAAAACAAGCTTAGATCACACTACTTCTGCAGCTTTAACCAGAGAGAATCCTTCGCAATTGCCTGACAATTGTGTCCTGGGACATTATAAGAATTTGTAACTTATTTTAACAACACTCTTCTCTGAATTTAGTGATTTGTTAATTAGTTTCCTACTGGGTAAACATAATAGTCGTATCTTACTTAAAATGAAAAATATGTAAAAACTATTTTTAAAATTGTATTTTATTTAAAATGACCTTTTAAAAATGCTCAATCAAAAGTAACAAAACAAAGAAATTTTTCCTAATCGTCGCCACACTTTTCATCTCTTGCCTTCCACCATCGAAGTTAGTAAAAAGTCAGCATAGTATAAGGAGTTTTAAAGCACTTGCAAAAACAAAGTTCAAAGTAAGGGCGCTTGAACTGTGTATTGTATCCAACTGAAGCGTAGAAAATAAAGGTTGAAAATAATCAATAATAAAATGAAAGAGTTTGCCGAAACTTTGGCAATAAGTGGTTTCGGGCTTGGTTTCCCTCGGGCAGGCTCCGAAGGTTTCGGTTAATTTTGATGCTTTGCTTAAACAGCCAGCCAAAGTTGATATAGGCAACAGATGCAGACCTTGTTAAAACGGAATTTTTGTGACTATTTCTGTAGCTTAAATATTATATTATCCTGCCTTTTCCTTTTTAGCCAGAATGGGGTAATGAACTCAATGGGCGGGAGGCAGCCGGAGGCAGGAAATTCGAACCGAAAGGGAAGACTAGAAAATGTATTTGGAACTAGTCGATTCTGTAATACTCTGATGGGATACTGAGCTACTGCATTTGTCGCATTTCTATGTTATAACGTCTTTGCCATGGCTCGAAATGGTCCAGAATAATCCATATTTCATCAGCTTAGGTTAGAGTATAAATAACCAGCCGCCGCCTGTAGCGATTGGCTGCACAAATGGAGCGGCTCAAGCCGGCAGCTGCAGCTGTATCGAAAAACAAGCGCCTTTTGCACGTGTGCGTGGCTATGTGTTCTGTGGGTGTCAACAATTGCACAGCTGGGCACACACACCACCCACACCACACACACACACACACACAACCAAAGATGCTGGCCAAGGAAGCTGCGGAAGTGGAAGAAATAATGGCTGTAGCGGCTGGGAGAATCAGCAGTTGCCACACTCACACATAAGACTTCTGGCCAAGTCCATGGGTGGACAACTTTAAAAGGTTCAGTGTGGACAGGAAGAAAGGACCTCAGAAAAGGACAGGAGCGTAGGTCAATTTTATGGAGACTTCGGCATTTAACTTGAACTCAAGCACACCGTGCGTATGAGTAATGTGTGTTTAACAGGTGGGAGTTTGATTAAAATAGTAGCATGCAATACCTGGGAATAGGACTTACTAAAAATACTTTAAATTTTAAGTTTCAGCTAAAATGGTATAGTTTTATTGTGGTCAATTGTAGCGGCCATGAAAGCTGCACAAAATTGCTCAGCTATTTGAAGAATAACATGCAAAAGTGTACAACTGAATGACTTTGGCAGTTTGATTTCACTGGCTATTTCTCACAGGCATAGACTACAATTCAAGAACCAAGCAAAGACAAGCATAACAATAAACCAAGACCAAATAAAAACTCGAAAACATAAAACAACTTTAATATTAAATTAATGAAGGACCAAAGACGGCAATCAAAGCAAGAATGTTTTCCTTTTGGAAAATGTTGTAAAAAGCTTTTCCGAATCAGCATTATTAAAATGAGTTGGTAATTAATTGCATTTTCCGAAATACTTTTGCTTTCCATCAAGTAAGATGCTGGCGGATTTTTGAAGCACAACTTTCACTGGAATCACAAAAACACTTGAAGGGCGGGACGAGGGGGTGGTTAAATTTCGGGGACTTTAATTCTCTTTGACGCTCGTCAAAGTTACGGGCCAAAATGTATCAACGCCCGACTCGTCGGGATGGCCAAAACAAGTGGATGCAGGATCTGTGAACCGACAGGAGAACGATGACGCCGATGACGAAAACTCGTAGCACAAAACACGGAGGAGGCGACAACAAGGACGACGCGGTGGGTGAACGACGATAAATGTTTACAAAGCGGCTACTGCCACACAACTGAAGCGACAGGATGCAATGGCTGGCATGGCCAGGCGGCTGCGGAACGAATGGAATTGGAGCAGTCAAAACAGGACTTCGGCTCCGAAGGACTCTGCTCGGGAGGATGGGCGATGGTGGGTGGTGGGTTTTTGGATTGGGCTGAGGTGGTGGTGGGGTTTTGTTTTTTGGAGGTCTGGAGGAAAGTGAATTCGCCGGCGCAGAGGTTTGTTCGTGGGGAATTCGCTTTAACGGCTAACTAACCTACCGCAAAAAAAGACTCTCTAGAACTTGTAAACATAAAGATAAGAAAATAGTCAAATGAATTATTCAAACTTGCACGAATATAGTTAGGCTGCACCGGCGCCT